GGAAGAATCGGCATCCAATATTCAATCGATCTCTCGATCGTCCATCCCATTTGTAAGTTGCACTCATCTCTATCTGTTCAGTTTTAGTGCCAACACATTTTATTGCGCACTTAGAGTTAGAGCCACTTCTTTTATTAGTCATTGGGGAGAATTTAGCTTCATGTCGTTTTGCCTGTAATGTTGCTTCAAATAGCAATTTGAATATATGCATCTTTTTACTGCTTCTCTGTTATCCTTTTGTTGTTGAGAATCTGATATGTATGTCAATTTGATGTTTAGGAGCAAATAATTTTTCTGTTGGCAAAGCGGCTTGGAATGATGACAAAAATTAAATTATGTTTTTCTGTGCTTCCCTGATATTATAGATTCTTTTACGGGAAGAATGAACAGATGTTGATTTTCTGCAGGTGGTGCTTTGATGTTGAGGTAGTTTACCTATGCAAATGGTTCATAATTCGAATGATCGAGATATCTGTGAACTGGTGGATCAAAGGAGAACTTGTTAAGCATGCCAAATATGCTTTAGGAGCTTGTGCTCATGTCTGTTGGATATAGAACTGCTATGTAATTGCTATTAAATTTTTGAAAGAAACGATTTGGATATATTGGTAAATTATGAAATTACTATTGAATCTTCAAATTTTAAGAAAGAAACAATTTGAGTACATATGTATGAGTGGGTAATAGCATATTTGGATATGAATTGTTCACAAAGCATTATGGTTTTATAGTTAAAATTGTTGTAGAGAACCATTGGAAGTGGAAAAAAAAGAAGCTAAAATATAAAATCACTACGTCAGTTTTGCAATAAATACATGATGATAGTTTCAACGAAACCGTCATCTTTATAGTTGATAGACGACTGTATTTTAACAAACAGTCATCTTTAGGGATAATAGATGACGATTTTTTTTTAAAATCGTCGTCTTTTCAGCTAATACACGACGTTTTTCAACAAAACCGTCGTCTTTACATATAATAGACGACGGTTCTTTCATAAAAACCGTCGTCTTTACAACTAATAGACGACGGTTATTTTAAAAACCGTCGTCTTTACATGTAATAGACGACGGTTAATTACCGTCGTAGTTTGACATTTAAAAAGACGACTGTCGATTTAACGACGGTTTGAAAAAGAAAAAGACGACGGTGTTTGCCCGTCGTCTATTTCAATTTTTGTAGTAGTGGATATTTCAAATTTGTTAGAGCTTTGATCCTAAAAAGAAATTTCTTATTTATAATTATATTTCGTGTACTTTATAATTTATAAGGTCAAATTTGACTGATATATACGTTTTTTAATTTATGAAATGAAAAAACAGATAAAGATAGGGAATTGGGAGATGCTGTTGGGGAAATCAAGTCTTTGAGGAATTCAGAGCGCCTTAAAGAGAAGGCGGTGGAAGAGGTACTCTATTTTGCTTATAAAGCCCAAGTTGTGCTTCTATTTGTATTGATTTTTATTAGTCAAACAATATGGTAGAATATTTTCAGATATATTTCATTCTCCGAAAGGAGTTATTTATAATACAGGTTACAAACCCTAGTAGGGTTTAATTAGTAAATAAGTGGAATCCTAATTACATAATATCTACACAAAAGGAAAAATAAATAAAACCCAAATAGAATAGGACTCGCCAACACTCCCCCTCAAGTTGGAGCAAAGACGTCACGCATGCCCAACTTGTCAAGCGAGTTGAGAAAGATACTTGTAGAAACAGCTTTCGTAAGAACATCAGCTAACTGATACTCTGAACGGATGAAAGGGAAGGACACAATTTCCGCGTCCAACTTTTCCTTAATGAAATTTCGATCAACCTCCACATGCTTTGTACGGTCATGTTGTACAGGATTATGAGCAATTGCAATCGCAGCCGTATTGTCACAATATAACTCCATGGGTTTATTAGGCCCAAAACCAAGGTCTTTCAACAATCTTCTCAACCATAGTAACTCAAATACACCATGGGCCATTCCCCGATACTCGGCCTCAGCACTAGATCTAGACACCACCTTTTGTTTCTTGCTCCTCCACGTAACATATATATATATATATTATAGTATATACAAATATGCTATTAAAGTAATTGTACCAACTAAGTTTTATTAGGCCTGTAAATAAAGCCCGGGCCCGATGGGCTGGCCCGAACCCGGCCCTATTTTTTAATGCATGGGCTTACCCGGCCCGAAGTAATGGGCGGGCTTGGCCCGGCCCGAAGTCTAATGAGTAGGGCTTGGGCTTCATTTTTAAGCCCTTTAAAAGCCCGGCCCGGCCCGATTATAATTATTTTATTTTATTAATATAGTTATATTATATATAATATTAATAGTTTGAAAAGGCCCGTTACTTTGTCTCATATCTCCCCAACACCTTCATTTTTTAAGAGCATGCTTTGTCTCATATCTCATCTCTCCCGAGTCCCAACACCTTCATTTTTTATTTTTTTTCCCATCTTCTTCTTCCTTCCGTTACTTTCCATCTCTCCCTCTCTCTTTTATTTCTTTTTTCCTTATTCTTCTCTCCCTCTCTCTTTCTATTTTTCCTCCTTCTTCCTCTGTTAGTCTCTGCAATTTTTTTTTTCTCTTCTCCCTCTTTTGCGTCATCTTCCATATCTCTCTCTTTTTTCTATTTTTTTCCATCGCTCTCTTCTCTTCCTTCGTCTCCTTCTTCCCACTCTTGAAAGGAAGAAAGATAAAGTGGAGGAGGCTGGGAAGGAAGAAAAAGAAAGAGTAAGTGGGGGTGGGTGTCTATTTCTGTCCCACATCGACTTCACACATCAACACAATTATTTTTTCCTTTATAAATAGCTTGGCAGGGTCAGTCATTTGTATATGGGCCTTCCATTTGAAGTTCTTGCTAGAGTGCCGAAATCCTCATTTGGATTATTGGATTTTAGCATAAATCTTAGTTGAGATTTTTGATAAATGCCTTGGCATTTATAGTCTCTAAATATTATATTGATTTGAAGATTTATTATTGTTTTCGGATTGGAATTGTGTCTTAATAATGTTATATATATACAAGGGCCATATAGGCCCGTCTTGAAAGCCCGAAATAGTTTGGCCCGTGGGCAGGGCCTGGGCTTTGCATATTTCATAGTGGGCTGGCCCGGCCCGGCCCGATAGTTGTCTAGGGCCAAAAAAGCCCGTGAAAGATAGGGCTTGGGCTCACACTTGTTAGGGCCGGGCTGGCCCGGCCCGGCCCATTTTACAGGCCTAGTTTCCACCCATTGCTAAACATAAGGGATTTGATGGCATAGTATGTAAATATTTTGTAATATTAGGATAACTATTAACCTATATTCAAATTTGGGTTTTTGATAATAGTTAAAAAATTGATGAGTTTATGTCTAGGATATAAGAGTTACAAGGGCCTATCTCGTAACAACCTTAAAAAAAGAATTATAAGGTGTGGTAACTCATAAACATAACTTTGGTAGATTAATAATACCACATCAACATGTCATGTGGTGTTATGATCACATTTTAAAAAGAAAAAGAAGAATCATCCATTAGCAAGCAAGTACAAAGTAGGAATCCATGCATGTATTGAAACCATTAACTAATTAAACACAATATTTAGCACAGGCATGACACTCAATTAATAATCCAAAATCTAGATTTTCATGATTTCACATTAACATGATGCAGTAATACAATAAACATAAAGTACCTACCTTGATCCATTATAGCAAACAACTTAAAATAGATCAAATACTCCTCTATGTGGCCTTTGCGTACCCTGAAACCCTAATATGTGTTAGTGTAAATTTACACATTAGATGGGCATATACACTTGTATACTGTAACATGATTATTTAGTTACCACAACAACAATAGAAAAGGGAAGATTCAACTTATCTCCTAATCTAGTTTCTTAGTGTATTCCGATTACTTAATTACCTCTCATCACATCAATATAAAAAATAAGGATTCAAATACTCTCCAACTCTAGTTTCGTGTAACCCGATTCTTGCGAGCCTTAAGATTAAGCTTTGAACTTATTGCGTGATTTGGTTAAAATTTTGAGGAGATTAGATTAGCAAAGACACCCGATCGGAAAATGGTAAGCTTCTTCTCTTCATATAACTAATAGGAGTTTTGGAGTAATATTTAAAAGTGTTCTTACATTAAAGCCAATTTCATCATTGTCCATGAAAATAATTGGTCATGAAGTCACCCTGAGATGGCCAAGGAGGCCCCCACACAAACAAATAGGTAAAAACTCTACACTACAAAGCTACGACTTTCCAATCAAGAAGGATAAGCTGAAAACTAATCTCCCTAAACTCTGCTGAAACAGACGCCCAAAGTGATGCCCATACTCGATACGATCCCAAAGCTGCTCTACCTCGTCCTCAATCACATCCTCAAAGATTCTCCTAATCCTTTCCCCCCAGATTACCCCTGCCATCATGGCGCAATTTCCCAACACTGAACCCTTCCTCTTACCACCAAAGAAGTTCAATCTAGCTTCAAGCACCGCACTACATGATGCGAAGCTATGTTAAGCTCATAATTTCATACATATACATGCCCAATTTACTTACTTCTTTTGCTTAGTTTCCTATAATTATGAGTTATTTGCCTCCCTTTGTGTGTTTTGTAGGCCAAAAGAGCAAGAGAGCATAATTCATGCAATTCAAACATGTTAAGGCCTGATTTGGATGAAGGGAAGAAGAGCTTAAAGACAAACTCATTTTGGCTACAGCCCTTGCCAGTCCAGTTTCGTGGGTCAAATCGCAAGCTTTGTTTCAGCAACCTGTTGGAATTTTAAAAGCTTTTAAAAATTTAACCGTTTTATTTATTTAATTATTTTTCTATTTTATTTTATTTATTGTGGGGGTTATAAATATTTAATATTTAGGTTTTATTTCTGGTTGGTGAATGCCTTAATTTTTTGGTTGGTGAGCTTTTATAGTTGGTGAAGGTTACATGTTATTGGATGCCTATAAAAGGCCACTCCTCCTTCACATTTGATACACACACAGTACACTATCAGAATATCACATACCACAATCACCACCATAAACTACTTCTCTCATTTTCTACTTTTATATATATTCTCTACTTTATATTATTATTTTGGCAATGGTTTTGTGACTTGGATACCCATATCCGTCTATGAACGTGCTCATAGCGGATCTTGAGTTTGTGTCCAAGGGGTCGTATCTTGGAGTCTTGAAGACCGTCAGTACCTACACGTAGGGAGGCTACAAAGGCTTTAGGACAGCGTGTTTGACGTGCTTCACCGTACCAAACTCACCTTCTTACTTATTATTTATTTTCCTTTTACTTACCTATTATTTTGTTTTCTTCAATTTCATTATACCTTAAAAGCTTTCCTATTAATTTATATATGTTATTTATAATATAATGTTTTGTGTTTGGCTTTACGGAAAAGGAAAACTATATTTTGTATATTTTTTTATAACAATCTAAAGCCTTTGTATGTTAAAGTTGTTTTCTTCCCGTACTGCTATTGCTTTAATACCTTTTAACTCTTTGACTGAAGCTTTTGCATTTGTATTGGATTATCAAAAATGAAAATTATGATTTGTTTTGGGTATATGCAGTTTAAAGCTTTGATGTTGTCTATACAATTTCAATTGCTTTAATTATCTTTGGTACA